TAGATAACTGGTTCAGAGCGCTTCTCAACACATTAAGTCTTGATTTAACCTACAGTTAGATCATAACCAAAAAAACCAATTTGACTTGAAGTTAGACAGTTAACTTGTAAACCTAATTCCTAACTAATCAGAGAAAAAAAATACTGTGGGGTTAAAGAGACGCAGAGGCCACGTTGATCCTTCACTAAAAAGTACTCCGAAGCACTTTTCACTGGAGGGTCATACGTGTTAGAGTTTGATCTTGAGGATTGGAAGCCCACAAAATGTACTTCGTGAATGTTATTAAAATTTCTCATTCTTCTTCGATTACGTTTTCAGTCATTCTGGAAATCACTTGGCGAGACTACCTGGGTGACATCATCTCCCAGATGTTCACGACCTGCACTTTGATACTCCACTAGTGCTTGAGCTTGCTGATATTTGAAACTTTTATGACGTTACCCGTTCTCGAAGGGGGCCGCGAAAAAAAATTACTTGATATGTTTGTCACTTAGTTTCGCAACTCCTTGTGTTAGCCAACTGCTGTTAGTTGATGCTTCTCTCAATTGTTTGTTATGGTTGTTTGTGCTCATATCTTTAGGGGAATGTTCAAAACAGACGGCTTTATCTCTCAAAGTCAGATTGCGCTAAGTTTGACGGCGTCAGGGGACTACAGGACACGCCGCTGTTGCTCACTTTCGCGTATCGCCATCCCTCAGAGTCTGAGCTTTTTTTTTTCCCTCAAATTCTGTGATCTCTACTCACTTTCTCACCCCTCCCCCCTCCTCAAGAGAAACGACGTGGGGGATTACGGACTGAACTTCCAAGATATGTACTTGTCCAAAGCCGCTTGAGACAAACTAGGTTTGGCGGTGGATACGCCTGAGCGAAGCTATCTGTGAACTTATGGAATTCCTATCCACAAACGGAAGACGTCTGACGGTATGCCAGGCATCCGTGCTACTATCCAGAGCCATCTCTAGTGATTGCATCTAGTGAAAATAAAAGTGGTAGCATGCGTGGCGTATGCCAGGATGAACATGGTACAGCCCACGGCTAGAAACTTTGCCATTTTACCATGTGACGCATGGCGCTTCTCAAATCTGGTGACGCAATCATTTCTATTCATCAAGAAATTGGTATGGTTTCAGCCGCTCTCGATCCACGCCATCAACGACTTCGGGCTTCCATGCGTAGTGCAGAATCCGTACAGTGGCGAGCAGTTGATCGTATCAAATGTAAGTATGAGAGGTGGAGCGCTGTTGTGGGCAGTTGGTGCTCATTCTCAAGATTGTTTTCATCCTTGGACGCGGTTCAATGGTTTCATATTTCAACGTCCAAGTGTTTTTCGCCCGCCGTTCGCGTGGTCGTGACGAATCGCACGGCAGTCTCGGCCACGTGCTGGCCAGCTTGGACTTATAATCACACCTTTAAACAGTTCACGTCATGTGCCACTCAAGCCATGCTTGAAGTTACCTCCTACTTATTTCTTACCGCTCATTATCGACAAAGAGGGCTGATTTTTCACTGGCTTCCTCAAAAACCAAAAACTATAAATGTTTGAGTATTCCATCCAAACGCATATTCTACAACCTTCTAAGGTATGGTGCGGTCTTTTTATTTTCTGCTGAATTCGAATTCATTCTGTTGTTTTTCATTCTATTGATTTTTATACATTATACGAAGTTATACGAGCCCAGGGAGGGGAAATGAATCTTATAAATGTTCACCCCGGCGATAAATATGCTCTATTTCAGAAGACGAAAAGAGCATCGAGTCCAGACCACACACCACAAGTGACGACGGCCAGAAAAGGGAGTGACTTTTTTCTTGGCCGTCGTCACTTGTGGTGTGTGGTCTGCACTCCACGCTGTTCTGGATCCGTGCGGAAGGGAAGGTAGATGGATTTGTATTTAAAGATTCGTAGAGCGAATATCAATTACCGTATGTGACGTCAGCTTCACATTAGTATTTACAGTCAGGGTTGTACTGACGTCATAAGTTGGACTAAATAGGTAATTGATTGATTTAATCTTCTTTCGCTTGTGTTATCTGATACTCAGATTTTGTACGAACTGTAAGTATCCGACGCTTTTTTCCAATTCCATGCTGGTCATAATTCTGGGCCAAGTCTTACAATTCACCACTCGTGGGGGTTGAGGATCGTAAGATGGGGGGAAGACCTCAGGATAGGGAAGTTTTTTCGTGCTCGTCGGTTTGTGCTCAAATCTTTATGGCTTCATGTAGAAATCTTTCGATTTTTATCGTTCCGGCCGTTACATGCTGTTATGTGTACCCCAGATTCTTCCCCCCCCCCGTACTCCTCCTGCTTAAAGGACCTTGCGAGATGAAATTGTGACATAAAGGAGGTGACAACTAGCTACCTGTATCCGATTGTATCTCAGTTCTTCCTCGTCACCTCCAATTACCACGCTTCTGATCTGCTCGTAGCAAGCCTTACTTTGGTGTGTTGCAGTTCTCGTACTTAGGTCAGCTCTTCTTAAGTGATACACATATGGTTTGCTCGAGCAAAGTTGGCACTAGCCTAGGCTCATTAGGTCAGGCATAAACAATGTGTAAGCATTAATCCTGAGGCTAAGCCAAAAATAAGCTTTAACTTAGCTTCAAAGATATGAGCTTAGTGTAAGCTTGCTTAGGAGGAGAATGACGCGTTTCATTATTTTACCCAAGGGCTTCAAAAAAATCACAATGACCTCCATAGCACAGCTACCTAACCTGACCTAGGAGGAGTTCCGAACGTCCTCCTCCCATATATCCATCACCATAGGAATGTCAGAAAGGGATTGTAGGGGAAACCTCTGCCGGAAGGGGTCTAACTAATTTCGAATCCGCTCATTACGACGACTGACCCGGATTTTATGCTGAAATGTATTTATACATATAATTTTCACGGCATTCTGCACATTCTTGCTGATTTCCGATGTACATCATTCGTAAGACGCCAGCCAGCTGGTGGCAAAACAACGGCTATGCTGTGACGTTAACAAACGGCCTCAGCTTACCGGTGGCCGGCCGAACAAGTGTGCTCGCCATTACATCACCCACCATTTACGCCCCTGCTTTGTTTTCTGTTCGTTTTATGTTTTTGTTTGAGGTCGCTTATCAGCTTCCACCTTTGACACTGTGATAATTCCCTGTTGACTTTCGTACTCTCCGTAGATGGCAAACCTATACCTTTATCCGGAGAAATTAATTCTTCCTCCATTTTTCATTGTGAGGTGGTCTTCGATGCCTCGATTCGTCTCTAATTTTCAGGAAAAGTTTTTCATCTCGACAGTATGCAATGTTTCCCAGGAACTTTACGAGCACTTTCAGCCCCCTTGATTAACAATCGTTCCCACAGCGTTCTTATAAGGGCAATCATGTGCCATACACATTGCACGTTTTATTTGATTTGAAATACTCTATTTTCGTGTGAATTTTAAAATTTTCAACAGCTGTGTTTCTGGGTAATGATGAATCCCTAATGATATCGTATATTCTAGAAATGGAGCCTTTGAAAGTTAGGACATACTATTCAAGTTCCAATCAGCGTTTATACCAACTTTACTCCCACTTATTATAGCAGGCGCTCGAAAAGTGTTGGCCGCAACGCGTTTTCCGTGTTTTTTTTTTGGCTAGAAATGATCAAGGATCTCCTCGAGTTTTTTTCTTTTGGACTCTGAGCTTCAGGCTTGAGGAGATGAAACATGAAAACACGGTATATCAATCTGGGAGCGTCTGTTGTGAATGCGGGCAGAAAAAAATACGCCCCAAAAATCGTTTCGGCAAACACTTGTGCTATGTATGCTACTTCATTTGCGCTGTACTTTGCGCTTAGCCACAGCCTTCAACCTTTGTAAGTCATTCAAGAGTTATCTCAACAGGTTCCGTCAGCTGCTGAAACAGCCTTAACACCTTGGAGCCCATACAGCTCATATGTAGGCTACATGGGCTCCAAGGTGCTAAGGTTACCTTAGACACTAAGACTCACAGCCCACATTTTTTAAACAAATATTAACTTCCTCTTGTTTTAGTTCCTTTCATAAGTAAGGTTTCTCCTACAGTATGCAGTAAGTTTTTCTTTCCAATTTTCCTGATAGATTCCTAAGGACCCGTTGAACTCCCACACGGCTGCAAAACGTAAACATGCGCGCTCTCAAACTGGTGAAAGAAGTTTGGTGGTGACTATCCTTTAGAGTAAGTCGACTACAGAAGTTCACTCGGTACTAATGCTGGAAGAGACGCAGTTTAATGTACCCAGTCCTAAGAAAACTTGCTCTAGGGGTCTTCGAAAAGTTGATGTGCACTGAACTACTCCAGGGCTAAGCGAACCTTTGGCGTCGGGGCATAGACTGGCAAGTTCTGATGAGTCTGATGACTGAAGGTCTCCTAGAGACATTTGGCACAGCGCTAGTGCTGAAACACTAGAAATTTCGCTTGAAATTTTTTCACGGATTAGGTCCGATTGGGCCACTTACGAAGAGCCGAGTTGATTGCATGAGTAAACAAGAAATTAGCTTTCAGGCACTTCCATAGCGCTCAAGCTCACTTCGCAATTCTATCAGATTATTATTTGCAGCATTATTTGTAGTATCGTGCTGTATTTTTAGTATTAAGCTTATTTCATGCTGAAAGAAAGAAGAAAGTGCTCGAACCCGCTAGGGAACCTGTGTTAGTGAATTGCTCTGAGGGCCCGCTTGCACAACGTTATGCTGAAAGACTTTCACGCGATCTTTGGTGATTGTGTAAAAGTGCATAGGAGTAATAATTATGTAAGAATGGGCAATTCAGTCTTCAGCCAGCCATTTATAGTGATGGCTGCTGGGAGCTAACAGGCAGCAATTCTGTCAGTCCTCCTTTGAGCTCACGCCACCATTGCTTCCTCAAATCCTCTTTTTAGTATGTCAATTCCATTTTATAGTTACTCGCTTTTTTTCGAATGTTGGAATTATTAGCAAACTACTCCATTTTTCGGTTCATTTCACTGAAATATAGCAAATCTTTCCATAAACACCAGCATTCTTCTTTATCTCTAAAGCGTGCTGCTGAGCTTCTCGCGAGCGCAATCGCCCAAATTTAGCCGTTCATGGAGAAAAGAATAGTCGACGGTAGACTTCGCCATTCATATGATTCCTTAATTGAATTGACCTGACATGAACATCCCACTATAGAACTGTATGAACATCTAGCCTTAGAGATTCCACTTCGAAGGGAGGTGAGTGTTTCAGATTCTCTCATCAGGTCGGCTAATCTAAATTCCTGACACCACTCGTCTAATCGTAGCACCCAAGACTAAGTCTAAGCCCAATTATAGGCTTATGCATAAGCCTTAATTTAGCCTAAGTCCGAGCATACCATCAGGCTTCATGGTCGCGCAGCTCTGGTGACCTGACTTTAGTGAACTGAACGTCTCATATCCACACTCGGGAGCCATCCGAGTGAGGTCCGGTCAGCAACCAACATCGCCAATTGTGCAAAAAGCAGGGTCAGTTGTCGCAAATGTTTGTTGTTGGTGACATTGGCAAGTGATCTTGTTATCTGTTCCCCAATCTGGTGCTATTCACTGCATTTTTAATCCACCCCCTCCCATACCCGATCTCTGTGCTATAAAATATAGACCTATCGTCTCAATGAGAAGCTAGTGAGGGTTGTGCTAAGGGCCCAGGGTTCATATTCTCACACCGTACTCCGGAGCTGATTGGGAGACAAAACCAGCGTATGGAGAATTCTTGAGGGCCTGGTTTCTTTTACAACTTGCGCGTTTTCTGTCCAGCATCATTTCCGGTAATCGACGGAAAATGAGAAGTAATTTGATGGATTCGTTAAAGGATTCTGCATTAGTGAGCAGTAGTGTGAGACTATGGACATACGAGATGATGTTGTTTGGCTGGCAAATTATGCGAAAAATGCAAGAGATGAAAGTCGTTGTCGTCAAAAACAGGAATGGTAATGAACACTAACTCGCCTCTACTCGGTTAGTCATGGATGGAATGGCATGAAAAGAGGCGTTTTGCAAGCAAAACGCACTTTTTGCCCACTCAAGAAGAAGAGCGCTTAGCTGCTCCGAACGATAAAAAATAAGGTAGAAAATCTGGAGATTCAGCCCCTTGCTATTATTTCCAGGGAAGGAGTGCTAAGCGTCTTTTTCTGTTTTTGGAAAATGAACATCGTTGGCGTGTTTTTCCTTCTACTCGGATTCAAATGGTTCAAAAAGAGCTTGTCGAAGGAGCTTGTATTCCAATTAGTGACTTAAGCTTCCTCGCTGCAGTGAATTAATCAGGTTCGATTGATTTTCGAGATTTTTGGCAAAAGAAGTGAACAAGGCTGGTTGAACTGGCTAAGAGGAGGCTTGCTGAACATGTAGAAGTCATGTTTCTTCCCACCTCCCCCAGCCCCTATCCTCTCTCTTTCTTCTATCCTTTCCACTCTCTTCGTGATCACAGATACTCGTGGATTTCAAATTAATTGTTTGTTAGGAACTGAAGAGGCACCATCCTCACCTTTAAGCTTGAAGCCGACCTTGAAAATTCGTTAGTTCAAATCAATTTGTCCGTTGGCGATTCAAAGGGATTCACAACTCTGATTAGCCGAGTTCATTTTTTCTCGCATTTTTTCGATTTTTTCTTTCAAAATTCGGACAACTCTTATGAGTGGTACCACGTCCTGCAAACCTCTCCCAAGAAGCTCTATGGTTTTACCTCAGCTGGAGCCCCATGTTTCTTTTCAGTGGGTACCATAGTTACCAACTTCATAGCCGCCATGGCTCCATTCATTGTCCTCTAGCTGATTAGCGCAGATCGCATTGCATTCGTTCCTCCATTATTCTCATGCAAAGTCTCGAAACTATGCTGTATACAGCTTTTTTTCCTCTTACTCTAGGGGTTTTTCTGCCGCTGAGGCGCTATCTACTGCGTCATAACGACATCCAAGAAACAATCTTTAATTGGCTTGATAAAGCGCCCACGAATCAAATTCCATATGCTCATTAGCAGAGGCGTGACTCACTGGCCAACAAGTGCGTTCTTTCCTCAATTTGAAAAATGAACCGCTTTCCCAAATGAAATTTGTGTCGAAGCATGGCATTAGGGGTTCTGATGTGAAGAAAAGTCTCTTCCTAACCATTTTCTACATAAGGCCTCACTTGGCTTCAACTGGAACTCAATCCGTCTGATGTAAATCTCATGGTCGGTCGTCCGCATCCCCCATCCCGCTAACCTTCTGCTCCCAGCCAACTGTTCGCTGTTCTTCTAGCTTATCACTCGCAGAATAACATATCCAGTGGTCACAGTACCACAGCGATATGACCATTTTTGAAACGAATCGATGAAATTTCTCCCATCCCAAAAAGGACCATTCCAGGGAGGAGCTACATCATTTGCCCCTTCCGCCGTGTTTGGACTGCCAAAACTATCGTTGAATCAGTGAGGATTTGCCTGCTCAGCCAGTCGATCATTCCTAGAGTAATAGGATCGAGGATTCTACAAGTTGTAGTAGAATGCAATATCCGCCAAGCAGTAATGAGAGAGATCTCCATAGCGATGAGGATTCCGTGAATGCATCCTTCTTCTAATACGCCTATCCTGATTGCTCTATGCGCTTCCACAAATGCGTGCTTTGCTAATATTTTCTATCTTCCTACTTTAGAGCTGCCTTAAAGGCCTCTTTGCCCTTCTCGATTTCGAACTCGCTGCTCCTCCGTTCACTCTTTGTGACTCTTCGACACATGCCATCTTCTCTATCCATGGACTTTCACAACGGGATATTGGACATAGGTCAATGGGGGTGTTCAGACAGATATCCTCATAACGGTCAGTGCCTCGCCCACTAAACAACCTCTCTCCTCGCCCCACAGTAATCGTTCTCTATGACTCTCTTCTCCGTAAATGCCATCATGAATCTGGAAAGAGATCCCATCTCTTTCTCTGTTTCCGCAATTCGCAAGCACTGCGCAGCTCAATTTATAACTTCCCACTTTGGAGAAATACAGGCAGAACTGTTTTGACCTAACTGGTTTCCTTGGAAGAGGGTTTTTTGTAGCTCTCCTGAGCACGCACTAGGAGTACACTATTTATACTCTGTCTTGGAAGGATAGCTCATTTATGTATGGGCTAAATCGTTCCATGCAGAGGAGGGGCTGACGCTTGTGCTGCCACGGGTACCGTGTTTCATTGGAAGGGAATCGTTCTTACAACTATACTCTCTGAGCACATCCTACCCGCGCACCCTACTGCAGCTTCCAGTGGTAAATTTGTCCTTACCAGGAAAGTCTTCCAGAACCTGAAGTGCTTTTTCAAAACGACCTTCCGCATGTTATAGGAGCACGGCGTGGAGCATCAAACCGAACCCGCCAAACTGAAATTTTTACCTGAGTGGCCCCGAGATTGCGAGAAAATTATGTGTGGAAACGTGGCTCGTGGTTCGATCGCCCACTGAACATGAAATTTTGCATTTCTCTGATTTCTACCTTCTTGCGCCCGTATACATACAGTGGCGGTCAAAAGTGTTTGCCGAAACACTTTTTCGTGCATTTCATTTCTTCTCTAAAGAGAAAGATCCGAAGATCAGTTCGTAATAACTTCGTATATCTAAAATCTTCAATAGTCAAGGTTTGAAAGCTTCAAGAGGAAAATCTTGTTAATACTACGGCACTGTTTGAGTGAGGAAAAAATGAGGCACGAAAAAACGCTTTGGTAAACACTTTTGACCGCTACTGTATGTCTAAACAGGCTCAATGAACAGAACCTTCTATGTGCATCTATTCAATGACACAAATGCTGTACAATGTGTATTACGATCCCGGGGCCACTCGGAAAAAGCAAACTGTCATCGATATGGTCCATGTCCGAGTCTTCTTAAGCTGAGCATTCCGATTGTGTCTTGCTTCTGTTCTGAATTGTACTGTAACATACTCTACAGCATTTGTGGCATTTAATTTTTGCATGTTGTGGGGGTAAGTGCAAGACCAATGGAACCAATTATCAGTTTTATGGTCACACACTGCACATACCCCTATAACATGCAGAAAACCGTTCCGAATAAGTGCTCCACGTCTGAACGACTTTCCTGGTTGGTTTGTCAATTCTTTGGGGTCACACGCATAAGTTAGGAGGGGAGGGTGACCCCATGTAGCAGCTAAACCGTAAGCCAAACTTCCCTTTACATATTTCGGTGTTCAGATTTGTTTCGATTTATTAACTGCTGTTTTTCAGCCTTGCGATAACATTCACGAAGTAAACCGGCCGGAAAAACAGCAGCTGACAAATCAAAATAACTCAAAACTCTCGGGTGGCAACAATTTTGACATGCAGTAATGCAGCCACTCATGCTTCGGTAGATGCAAGCGGGGTACACCATACGATGTGGTCCCACCTCTGCTTATGCGCGTATCTTTTAACGCTGATCTCAGGGTCCATAGATACTCGGGGGCTCTGAGTGTATTGTGAAATGGTACAACACGACGAGAGTTTCCTTTGCTCGCTACGCACTCTCTAAAGGTTCAAGCTAGTGCATTTTTCCAAGATTTCAGATGTTCTATTGTCTAGCTACCTTCATCTCCCCTTATTACTCGATCGCTATTGCCACTTCGAAGAGCAAGGCGTAACCGAAACAATTTCTATACTTGTCGTACACATGATGAAGCAGCAGCCTTTGCCAGGCGTGACGCACCGTCTAGACGTGCAATCTACAGGCGTTCCGCGCAGGCCGACTTTTACAGGCGAAAAGGCTGCCAGAGAAGTGAGGTATCGGTGCAGTCAATGGTGCAGAAATGAGACAAATAACCACTGAAAATACGGCCTCACAAACGAAATGGGACTATTCCCGTTGACTTGGCTGTTGAATTCCACATTGATGGAGCTCTCATCGCTGCTGCCCTCTGCAAGGTACTGCTAAACCACCAGAGTCAGTGGGCGAGGGGTGGGTGGGCAGCGGCGAGAGCGGCGCGGATATGGCCGGCCGAAGACGCTGGGCATACCTCGCACTGCGAACGGTGCACGTCCGCACCCTTCAGGCGGTGTGGCCTTCCTTCTAGGTGTATTTCCTCCTTTTCGACACGATATCATTCGTGGAAGTCCTCCTGAAAGCTGCCTGACCAGAAGAGAACTGTCCAATGTCATGCCATTTTGCAACGCTGGTTGGGAACTAAAATCTATCACGACGGCTGCCTGAAAATACATGTTCCATAACAGCGCTAAGCTTGCGGCGCTCCACGCCAAGCTCTTAGTATTGGAAATATGGCACCTAATCATTCATTCATGCAGTTGCATATCAGAACAACTGATATCAGAACAAGCGTTCTGTACTCGCTCGCGATGTTCTCGAAGGCAAAGTTATGGGTTCTGGACGAGCCGAGCTCTTCCACGGGAAATGTGGACTGGGGGTCGCAAGGAGAGAGCATGTACTCGCTTGGCGCCACTACTTCACAAGGCTGAGCGCGCTAAGGTCCACAGATCCAACGCTTGCTCCGCCCATCATCGTAGATTATCTCCATTCCAATTTTATTATTTCGCTGCTACTAGGATAGGGGGCTTTTCTTCCGTACTTAACGGTTTTTTTTTCATTCCACCACCGCTGATAAACTTCCCATTTCCTCTGTCACTTATCAGCGCTGTAGCAAATCAGTTCGATCCCGGTTCATGCATTTGAAATTAGGCTTGTTATTATCGAATTGAGATCATCTTCAAATACAGTATAAGTGACGCTTTTGTTAGGAGCTCTATACGGGGCATTTTCATATGTTCAAATCGCATTCAGGCCGATCATTCTTTTTCCTTATTTCCAAAAGTTTCGATATGATGCTTGAGTCGGAAACACCTTCCCCTTCAAAAAGTCAGAAAGTGTGCGGTGCAGACCAAACACCACAACTGACGACGGCCTCCAAGTAAATCTGGTTAGTAGTGGTTCATAGTGATAGCTGATTTTTAGTAAATGATAGTTGTAATTAGTGTCAACTGATCGAATACAACTGTAACAGGTTAATCATTTCATGTGGCCAAAAGATCAATTGCATTTCCTTAGACCGTCAGTCATTTGTGTGTCTGTATGGGTCCGCACCCGACACCTTTCTGGCTTTTCTGGTGAAGAGCGAGGGTAGCTCTCTGGCTCCGAAGGACAGCAGAATCTTCCTGCTTCACAACATAGAGCCTGTGCCCCTTTTGCACCTCTGGATAGATTATATGTATGAGCATATCAAAAGAAAGATGCACCGTCGCAATAAGAGACCAAAAATGAACTTAGGGTCATTCTTGCGCGATGAAGCTAGTATAAGAAAGCACTAGAATGCAATGACCAAATAGGTTTGAATGAAAAAAAAAATTACAGTCCTAGCTGGTTGTACCCTTTCCTTAGACCTAATTTCACTTAACTCCCTCAATGAATATGCAGTCCAAATTTGTGAAATTTTCCATAGTTGCTCACCTTGTGTTGCGCTAATGGGTCTTCCTATATAAGTAATTGAAGCCTAAGAGGATGCTCTGTCCGTGACGGTGGTCTCAGTCGAAGTAGAGGATTCTTAGGCATGCTTGCTAAAGTTTCGTATAGCATACATTATACGAAGTATACGATACTGCAACTATAAGCAAAAAGCCACATAAGGGCGTCAGAACATATGGTTTTATAACGACCACCTCTTGTGTACTGCTGGGAGGGAAAAGGTTTCGCGTTCAAGCCTTAAGAGGTAACTCGTGTTAGCGGAGGGATTGTCTGATAATGTCGGAAGATGAAGAAAGAGGAATCTACTAAGCAGAAGGGTCGACCGACACTCCGTAAAGAAACGGAAGCATCGAGAGCGAGGGATATGCTCTTGGCGATCTAATATGGCAGTCCACGCGCCGCTTTCGCCACTGACCTCCCACCCTCTTGCCAACTGGCTCTAGCGGCTTACCAGGGAGAGCATTGGCGTTGGTTAGTGTAGTACCGATGAAACACGCCCCTAACCAATTGTCAAAATGAAGTCCCATTTCTCGATTTTAGGCCGTTTTTCTTGGTTCTTTCGTCGTGCCTGCCCCACTGACCACCTCTTCCTTGATTTCTAAAAGACCTTCCTCTCATAACTTCCACCTTTAATGTTGGAGAGGCTATTTGAGTTGCTTTCTCGTGACTAATTGTTAAAACATCCAGATAGCATGTTAACAATCAACCGGCCTACCATAAAGAGCAGATGATTTAGACGAAAACGCAAAAAAACCTTCCACTAGCAACACCTCAAGCTAATGCACTGACACTATGTGGAACTCTGCTACCCAATGCAGATGATTTCTCGAAGCTTCATAGCACTTTCCTTTATCAAAATGAGATTGTTATTCCATCGGAAATCGAACTGGTGGAATCACTGTTGTTGGGTGTTGGACTTGTTTGCGAGTCATGCAAAAAAAGATCGTCCAAGGGGCACCTAAGTGAAGGTCAGAGACAGGCTCGAAGCTAGAAGGCGTAAAGGCGAGAAGGAATACGGGCACAACCGCGGAGATCGGTCCTGGCCAAGAACAGGACCACCACTGCAGCTCCTATCCTAAGGCTGCAAAAAACCGTCCCGTGCGCCTTATCAAGCCTTTGAGGAACCGTCATACCATACCTTGGTAGAGAGTCTTTAACTTACCAACGCCAGGGATTGGTCTTGGTTCCATCGTGAAATATTCTCTCAGATGTGCTAGTGAGTGGCGACTCAGTGAGGATGCTTTGCTGAACCGCCTCTAGATTTTTTTAGCCTAAAATAATGCGAGTGCCTGATATATGTGTCACCCGCACCCGCACTCCATTTTCATCCAAGAGCAGGTGTGATATCAAATGAGCCCTGCATATTTGCTTTTTTAACATTGATTCCGATAGTGCTCTCTGTCAGCAGCGGCCAGAACCCTAGGAAAACGTCAAAAGCTTGAACAACGCCTTGACATACTTGCTTATATGTATTAAGGTGTCCCATCATTCCGTACCACATTTTTGCACCTTACGCCATAGCTCTGTTTAGCGCTTTCTCAATGATAAAATGTGCTAAGTAGAACCCTCTACGCGAAGTAGTCTCTAACAGAATTATGTCCGCCCTTTGAGTTCAAAGTGGGAAAAGAAAGAGCCATGTTTTTCACCTTCATTTATCAAATTGATCCACAACCGAGCGACCCAGGAGTAACGACTGCTTCGCGATACAGCTCATTGTGCGAGACCTGCTTTGCTCCCTATTGAAGCCAACCGGCAGTTGTTTTGCTGTGCGACCACCACACTTAAACGTTCCAGGTACACATTTAACAGAGATCTGCCCTCCTCCGGAAATTTGCTGAAGCTCGGGAAGGGAAGTTCTCCTGAGGCTACCAGTAATCACAAGAGTGCAATACGGGTTCACTCAACATCTTCTATCCTTTTCCACTCCTGAGCGTAAGCTGAACAACGTCGCTACAACCGGGAGAAGTGTTAGTTACCGAATGCAGAAGCGCCAGTGGCTTGCTTTGAACAGAAAGGGTTGAACAACAAGCAAACCCAGCAGAAGGTCCTGGTCTACGTATGGTAAGCTGATCGCGAATCGGGCACTAGGAACTTCTCCCTAGCTTCGGCCTCACAACAGCACGGGTCTCCTGTAAGACTGGTGTGGAAACTAACTAGTACTCTCAAAACTCGAAGGAGTTTCGCACTACGGTAACCGATACCACGTGTTTCCAAAATGGTGCACTCTCAATCTTGAAGGCTTATTTGAGTAGTCTACCGGACCCACCGTGCAGCGGTGATCAGCCTGTTTCCAAGCCGCCTACTCCTCTTGCTAAACTGTCATCTTGCGGACAAAAAATATGATTTAGTGAGGAACTTCAAAACCCTTTCAACTCGAAACGCCAACCTTCCTGAAACACGGCACCGACTTTCCGTCGGTGGTCAGGTGTACCGAATCTCAACCAAGTTAACCCCACCTAAGACCGAGTCGTTGGCACTGGCCGTGCAAAACTGGATGAAAGCTCTGGTTTATCGAGCCTCGAAATCGAACCAAAACGACCAATTGGCTTTGACTACGGATCTGTTCACCACCCGATAAATCCCGGCTACTTTATAGCATTCCTGATATCTAAAGAGATGAGGGATGGGACATTCAGCTTTGACCAATTCCTTCACTCAGAATCATCGTGACAGTAGAGTGCCAGCAATGAATATCTTACTTTTTGTTCCCATCAATCGTAGTATTAATAGGATGCGATCCGGCTAATTATTTGCGGGGACCAGCCAACGTACAGCTTGCTTCCAATCTCCGGTGATTAGGAAATCGAAGGCTTATTTTGGTTTGAAATGGGCTCAAAAAGTGACACTTGTTGGGCACCGTATTTATGGGTAAGCAGCGCCACTAGTCATTAGACCATATCAGTCATTCTGAACCTTAAAGGCAGAATTCACGATGAAAAGTTAGCTCATTGGAAATAAGGGTAAAGGTGGTCAGTGGAGCAGGGATGAAGAAGAAACCATTTGAAACGGCCCGAAACCCGAGAAATGGGACCCCTTCCTTGCCCGTTGATTTGCGCATTGATGCGACTCTCATCGCTGTGCCCTCTTCAACACTACGCTCTCTCTGCTATCTAATCACTCGTAGACCTGCGGTGAGTGATTAGATAGTCGGTGGGCGTACCCCGCCAACGCGCCAAGAGTGAGCCATGCTAGATCGCCGAGGTCAAATCTTTCGCTACCAATTGCGCGTCGGTCAGCACCTCAGGAGGTCTGCCTGTCTCCCAACTATGCAATTTCCCCTTCTTTGACGTTCGTTCTTATCCGTGAATTCCTCCTTTAAAGTTTTCCCATTTTCAAAGACTCGATTTTGTAATAAGACTGTGACTGAGAACGAGTGCCTCTTTCTTTCTATTCCTACGTGCAACGTGCAGAAGGAATTATTGCAGTTGCACAGTCCCTCCGTCATATTCCAAGCAATTGCTGGAGAAAATTTGCAGCCACAGGTTATTCTGATTGCTTCTGTTTTGACGTCATGCGTCATTTAAATGGGACTCGATTCTCGCACAAAGCCAATCAAGGGATTACATGAGAACTGAGCATATTAATGAAAGCTTTCTGACATTAGGGACTGGACTTACATTACCGCTTTATGACGAGGTGTATGTCATGTGATAATTGTGAATAATGCGAGGGAAAAAGGGGAAGATTAGCTGCACACTTATGATGCCAAGTTGGTGATTCATCTTCGAGGACATACTACCAGGAATGCTCCTCTTCTGGGAATGGGCATTTGATAAAGATGCCTCTTAAGCAGAACCCTCTCTATGTTATAGTCGGCGCTCCTTTCCTGACAGCGGGTTTTGGGGTTGTGGGTTTTCTCAGTATTCTTCGAATAGCTCCCATGTGAAAGTTGAAGTACACCATTTCCATGCAAATGATGGTGCCGATACGGTAAGGATAAGGTCGAGGCTCCTTGTGAACAAGGTGATGAGACGGAGACCGCGCCAAAAGCCATAGAGCTTCGCGGAGTAAAAGAGCCGTTTGGGAGTTACTTAGAATACTTTTAATTAACTTCACTGTAGATGTTTGAGAACCCGTGTACGGTTTTTGTTCCTGTATAAGCCTCTATCTTAGTATAGTAATATTTAATTTAAATATCTCTTTGCGGCCCAGTAATGAGAGAAATGATGTGAATTTCCTAATAGTGACTTTTTGTAGCTTATTCTCGTAACCTTATCCAGTTATTGCAAAATTGCCACGCTGGAAATCTAGTATAATGCTCATAATGGGCGATCATACATTAAATCGTGCTCATTTACTTCAGAGCATTGCACACAGCAGATGAATAGAGCCTCTCTATGTGAACCCGAACAAGTAGCACAATCCCGGCGTTCTGCCAAACAGTACTGAAGGCAGTGCGCTCATGTCGTAGAGGGGAGGGGATATTCAAGGGAGTGAGCCACTAACAGCACCTAGGGCTAGGCTTTAGGGATTCGAAGGGATTCTGGGAGAGCGTGTCAGCAATTTTTATTCTAATTGGCGTTCCGCCCTCCCTTGGGCCATGTCACAATGTCAACTACCAGCGGTTTTCGAATGCTCTTTTTGAATGCCCTCCTCCTCCCACCGCCCCAAAGGACATGAGCGCCGAAGGCAGTATTACACGTTGATTTGAAATCACACTGGGGATTGTGAATATTTGATAGATATGGAAAAGGTAGGGGTTCGTCTTAGTAGTTGCTGAGGAAAAATGAATGGCCTAGCATTCAGTTCTTGGGGATGCGACATAATCCATTGTATTTCTGCTAGAAATCGTGGTAGTTTTTGCGAGTTTGTGACTTCCGATTGTTCTTTTGAGAGGAGATGTTGAGCAGCCTAGGCCATGTGCGGGTCGAACTGACTTTTTTGTTTGAGCAACTTATCGCTTTTCTTCTCTCAAAAAGGTTCTCTACCAACGAATCTTCTTACTATCTCGAAATTCTCGAAGGCTTGGGTCCCGGGCGAGGTTCAATGGTTAGTTGAGACTGCCAAGCACGATCCCAGTTGGTGAAATGTCTCTGATTCTAGAAACGCCCGTGTATGTGGGTATTATTGCGCAATGCCAACGTTGGACGCGCTTTTTCTTTCCCCCTTGAATCCAGCTTGTCGTTGTTAGGTTTCCATGGAAATTTTTCTGATTCTTTTACTTTTGTGTGAACTTCCTCCTTCAGAATGAGGTCATTTAGAATCACCGCTGAGATGTTGAATTTTTCCAGTCTGTCAATCTCAGGAGATTTTCATGGCGAGAATGGGAAACTAAAGTAATTGCGTCCATCACGATCAACGTTAGGGCAAGAGAAAATCTGGTAACTAACACGAACGTAGAGTTTTGTGAGAATTAGTGTGGCATCGAACACCATAAGGACAGCCTCTGCGCAGTTGCAAACAAGTTGGAAAGGTAGAACATGACCTATGAATGGGAAAAGAAAGGAAGGAAAACACGAAAGGCCTGGGGTCAACTTCCGCACAGGTTCGATACTAACCGACACCGCATTCCGCCTCCGAGTTTTATCAGGTCCCAGAATGGCCTAATGGGAAAAAACATTGGATTCAAATCTATTGCAATGGGCCAACTCGCGTCCCTTTGCCAGTACGCTTTTCACATAGATGGCACAACCTTGAAGGAATCGATCTGCTTTGAATATTTTACTCTCTATCTTTAGTCTTCGCTTCATGAGAGACATTGCTCAAACGTCGCGTCATGAGTACTTTTGAGATGATCGATCAGTAGAGGTCTTCTGATTAAGAATAAAGGCTAAAGCAGTTGCCGGTTTGTCACCATTCACATCCATTTATCCACTCGTCAGTGATTGTGCGTTTGAATCCGCATTGCCGAACTGACCTTGCCTGCATATCAGCCTATGTGCAAGCGTAGTCTTATCCCACCTCCTCGCCGACGGAAGAACTGGGTACAATTAACTGACCGTGGACGAAAGCTCGGTGCCAGACGTAAGCACGGTGAAACTCCAGTTCGGGGGGGCCACTCCAGTGCTATCTTATCCGTAGTACTAACGAGTGGTACTTTGGGCTATCCAACACCATGGATAAGATATCAAGTAAACGATTAATTTCGAGCGTACTTTCGATAAGGACCGGTAAATGTTGTCCATCACACATTCTGCCCACCTCCTATACAATTTTCTGCACCAGGTCATCCACCCTGGAGCTCCTCCACCCTTGGCCCTAGAAAGAGGTATCCATTCTCCGGTCCAGGACCGTTCCCTTGGACCATGGCAGGCGGAAAGGTTAAAGCATCTCACGGCTTTTTTCCCATTACACCGTTACTTATCAAAAGTATACTCTGAATGAGTTGGTTACGTATCATGAGCGCTGTCATCCTTATCTCGAGTATTGGAGAAACAATGGAGTGGCCCCCCCGAACTGGAGTTTCACCCTCAACGCACAACCCAGACTCGATCCGGTCAGCGCGCGGCGAGTAAAGCAGCGCCAATTGCACGAACTAAATTCCGCTCTTGGTATACAATGGACTGAGAATCATTTACACGAAGAACCATCGTTAAGTGCCCATCATACTACTTCTGTAGTTACAGTTACAAGCTCATCAGGGAAATAATCATGCGCGTATTTCTTGCCAGAACGCATGTAAAATTGATATTTTTGGCGCTGACTTTGTTTCCTATTATCATCAATTGTGAAACAAAATTTATAGAACTGCATCTTCCTGAAGAAAAACTTTACTTCGGTTAATGACCATTTTTGCTAATACGACCAGAATGTCACTCATTTTATTAACTTCAGAACTGCCCTATCATACGTGTAAGCATGAATGAAAGTAAATGGTGGAATGCTAAAAGTTAAAAAGACTAATGCAGACCAACGAAAAAAAAAACGCGATGAAACAATTCAAAAGAAACGTAACAGAACAAGAAAAAGCTAACAAAAATATTTTCAAAAATTGTAGATTTCTTGTCCGAAATGTCTCGTCCTTTGCTGTGAATTGATTCACCCCCTCGAGTGTACCTCGCTATGGAAAGTTAGAAGAGCACGCAAAGGATGACAAAGAACAGATCAGTCAAAATATCACTTCACATGATGTATAGCGCAAAGAGACGGTCTGATGTCATTTCTGACGGGTCCGTATATCACAGACATATAACGATGGAATCTCAGCCGGCCTGGATAGAGTGACTATGCTTACTTCTGCCATACTAATACAAATGAGCTCTTAGCTTTTGCCGAGAGTGCAGAGATCTACGCCACCCATATATTCATGTTCGCTGTCACTCCTGAGGGAGCATACGATAAGAACGGAAGTCGTTGAAGGGAAAAGTTACCCAGTGGAGAGATAGGCAGTCCTCCCTAAAGGTGCGGCATGACACGAAATTCGCATCGAAGGATTTGCCTCCGGCGTTTAGCAAGGCCTTTCGCGCCGCTCAATTGGGGGCGTATTGACGCGGACCCACCTCTCGCCGCTCGCGTCTCGTACCTGAGTCTCTAACATTTAGCAAAGAGAGCGTTAACGTTAAAGAGGCAGCGCGAGGTTATCGCAAATCAAGGGCCGAATAGGCGGTCCTTTTTCTCGGCTTTTTCTTCTGGCCGACGACCTGACATCTTTAGCTTTATTTCCAATGGGTTCCCTTTTCATCGTAAAAGCCGTCTTTACAAATGTCACCTGGGTGCGGAATCATGAATAGCTGCCTGTATTCCTAGAGTCATGGGATCCATGCAGACACGGCTGACGCCCAGTTGAGAAGACTAGCGCTTCCCTGTGTCGCGTGAAGCGTTTTGGTCCTGACTCGCACGGATACAGCCACGTTTTTATAGCTAGTACTAGATCAGTCAAACGAAATGAGCGCTCTGACGGGAATGGCCGAGTCGTGAGCCGAGCATGCACTTAATTTGGATAGCTTCGAATCACTATAAACACGCATTTAAAACAATGTCTCAAAAACTGATGGCAGTCATTGTATGTGGTGGCAATTGGCGCGCACAGGCTGGAAATTCATTCCTGTATCGAATTTCTTCCGGATGTAGCCTTCCATCTCTTGAAAGCGAGTAATTGATACTGGCCTGGTCTTCAAAGGTCAAAGGGTTTTCTGTAGGCGAAATCATTCAAGCTCCGTTTCTTTTTAACTTTAAAAAAGAAGTCATGCTGCGCCGACTTTCTTCATCCTTTTAAGACGATTAACGCTGGAAAAACTGTCATTTCAAAACTCAGAGTGGGTTAGTGATGCACGAAGAAAGAGAAAAACAGGAAATGGTCCAAACCGAGAAATGGTACCCACTTCTTGCTCAGTTGATTGGTGCACCTTGACGACTCTCATCGCTGCTGCCCTCTTTAACATGTACTTCTCTTTCTTAGATGTTCGAACCACACGCACGGAGTATCGGCCTGGCTGCCGAGTGACTAGATAGACGGGGCATTACACCGGCCAATCGCACCAAATGAGCATCGCTAGAGCTGTCGCAGTTAATTTTTCATGTCCGATTACGTTAGGTAGTGCTTCAGGTCACGTCTCTCCAACAGGCATTTACATCTTCTACTGTATCTTATTGTGAATTGTCCCTTAGAGAATGTTCCGGGCTAGGAACGATAAGGGAGGCATGGAGAAATTAACGCTGCGCGCTAAATTGAACAATTTGCTGAATATGTTGTATTTACATTATGCCAATGAATGTCCCATTATATGAAGCACTGAGCGGCATACAGTACGTTTTGTAGCAGGCTTCTTGTCGGCCATGCTTTCATAGTTACTCCCATCACATAGGCAATAGAGCGCTTTCGGTGCTTGACAAGCCAGCGAAATAGTTCTACAACTTTATTTCAGGGCAGAACTGTAAGGCATGCCTTTTCCTTTTGGAACCAGTCACTGAGATTTGAACTTTCTCAATACTTAGAAGTGCTATTCATTACGTCCCTAACGCCCATTGATCTTACATACTACTGTATTGGCATAGTGATTTATGAACCTCATTGATACCTCATCCGTTGTCCGTCGCTGAATTGCTTGTCGTCACATTTCGTGATGGAACAATCGCATTCTGTGCACACTTACAGAGCGCCGCAGCTGAGCATCGGCTCGAGCATGAAGGTAGTGGCTCTGAAACGAAGTGCCAGCGATCTGGAACAGCATCATGGCCGTGGAATCTGCAGTCGATCAGCTCCGAAACGGGACTGCATATGTGAGAAATGGAAGCATGTATGAGCTGACTATTGCAAATCAATGTCCAGTCAACACTCTCAGAGATCGGTGAGGCGCTTCAGTCATACCTTCATCTTCAGCTGCACCATAGAATTTTTGAACGTCATCAGACAGATGCGTCGGGGATCAGCTGATTTTCAGGCTACTGTAATGAATGCTGTGGAATTGAAACAATCATTTATCGGGGGAAAAGGGCGCTTTTTCATTGAAAACGATCTCAATGGCTGACCGCCAGGCCCTTTTCACGGCGTTTGCTGAGTTTCGCAGCAAATTCATAGTGAACTTTCCAAATGACATACTTTACTTGTCTTGCACGCTGACCTTTTTCACAATACACTTCCGGTCATGGTATTCATGGAATTGAGAGTAATGTCAGAACCGATAGCTGGAAATCCTGCTGTCATCTATTAAAAACTCGCATTTCGTACGAGCCAATTACTAAGTTTTCTGTGACGAATATAAAGGTCTAGGAATATGCCTGATCTCTGAAGGTTCTCGATTGAATTTTCACCTTTCGTGCTAGTCTTTATTCAAGAAGCCTGCCGCCCTTAATCGGCTGTTTACTGTAGTACTTGAATTGTCTTCTGAGGCTTCGCTCTCACTTCAGGACTGCCTCAGGCCACGCTGTCGAGCTCTGATCGCTGCGCCGATGATGAACGTGCTTCATCGTAACACATAACATTATGGTTGTGTATGTTTATGAAAACTTAGGGCATGTTTATATGATGACGAGCAATCTATCCCACTATGTGACGTCATCGCCGACAGATTCACACTGCCCCCTTTTTGGACTTCATCAGACACTGCTTTTCCAATCATTGTATCGATTACCAACTAATTCCTTTTTTTTTTTGTAAAACCCTAGCACAGGTATGCCTTCGAGATGATCTCTAGGGATAGGGATTCTGACTTAAGAGTTCATTCCATGATTACGATTAGGGACTGTCCCACCGCTTAAGGGGTTGTCAATAGTCCTTAGCGGAGAGGTTAGCGCCATTCTTGCGACGGACGCCCAAATACCCTTACGCACACGTTGCGTTGTCTGGGTGTGGTTCATCAGGACAGAAGGCGACTTTTTCGCGTTTCGCACCGCGAAACACGTTCGTTGGGGAATTCGATCACGCATGACTCGCTACTGGACTCGTATTCAGTGATGGATCAGCGGTGATGAGGCTCCCTCAGTAGAGCATGTGCGCGCTGTGAACGGCGAGAAATAGTCGCTTCTGCACCTAAGGAATCACACTGACGGCGGTCCTGCTGTCTTACTCGTCCTGTGCTTTCTTCTATTACCAATCTTTTTTTGCCTCTTTTGCTTTTCTGCTACTGCGACTGTAGCCTCTCTTAGCTTCACAGAATCATTAGAAAAAGGAACATAAAAGCTGCTTTCGCTACTGCTTCCTTCTCTTCTTTTTAAGAGATCAGCTAGCAGCTAATGCTTCTCTTTGTGCGAAATCAGCCTGCATTCGCGATCGCGGATTGCACCTTTGGCTCTCAAGATGTCACGGATCCTTGTTTTTTAGAGGGCTTCTGTTTTTTAGAACTCTTTCGTTT